GCTGACAAAGAACAAGCACTAGAACACACTTTAAATACACAGGAACTGATGAGAGGAAGACAAGGGACACCTGGAGCTAAGGAGACAATAAACATTGGAAACACCTGGGACAAATGAACTTGATACACGAGAGACAGAAACAGGGTCACGGAACACATGGGGAGCAAAGACACACACAAAAGCTGGCCCAGAGTCTGACAAAACCATGTTATTTTTTTATTTTGGTGAATTGATTACAAATACCACGGCTAAACTATAGTGTACCAAAATCATTGTTAATTTGTGGTTACAGTGGTTTAACTACATTAACCATGTGTTTTTTTATTTGTAATATTATATTTAAACTTTTAATATTTTTTAGTTTCTTTCATTTCATTATATTCCAGCAAAATAACATTTATTGTGAATGTTGAGTACATTTTTCAATTGTGCATGTGTGTGTGTGTGTGAAAGTTATAAATCATCCTTTTGATAGCCTGTAGCATGTAATCGAAAGAGAAGAGGATCCAAATGCAGTAGAAAATATTTATTTAAACTAGAAAAAAAAAACAAGAACACGATACATATTCCCTCCTCAAAACAGGCAGCTACCAGATGCCTAAAAAAATAACCCACCGAAAACAACAAAATCCAGGAGGGTGAAGGACTGGAGGTGGTCCAGGGGGAGGGATGGAGGGCCAGGCCCATGAAGTGGATGCGGACCTGGATCATGGCAGAGGACCAGGACTGAGGAGCAGTGGTGGGCCTGGATCGTGGGGCAGTGGCAGATCTGGCAGTGGAGCAGAGGTGGGGCTGGACCATAGAGCAATGGCAGACCTGGACCATGGAGCAGAGCTGGCGGAGCCGGGAGCCAAGGCGGAGCAGAAGACCACCAGGTCAGAGCAGGCGGAGCAGGAAGCCAAGGTGGAGCAGAAAACAATTTCAGTGGAGACGATGGCATAGGTTAACAACGGCCTCTCAACGGCCGTAACAGGAGAAGAAGAGAGTTCATGGATGGCTTTCTTGGTCATGATAGGGTGGACTGTGAGTTCACGGTTGGTTTCCATGGCCATGACAGGACAGAGAGTTCATGGACGGCCTCCTTGGCCATGACAGGACAGACAGAGAGTTCATGGACGGTCTCCTTGGCTGTGACAGGACAGACAGAGAGTTCATGGACGGCCTCCTTGGCCATGACAGGACAGACAGAGAGTTCATGGATGGCCTCCTTGGCCATAATAAGGCAGACTGAGAGTTCATGGACGGGGCCTCCTTGGCCGTGACAGGACAGACAGAGGGTTCATGGACGGCCTCCTTGGCCGTGACAGGACAGACAGATAGTTCATGGATGGCCTCCTTGGCCGTGACAGGACAGACAGAGAGTTCAGAAGTGGAACTTCAGCAGAAGCCGCCACCTCTGGAGGTTCTGCGGATGAAGCCACAACCTCTGGGGTAAACTCGTGGACAGGAAAGGCCTCTGGGCAGACTCATAGACAGGAGGGGCCTCTTGGGCTGACTCATGGACAGGACAGGCCTCTGGGGCAGACTCATGGACTGGAGGGGCCTTTTGGGCAGACTCATGGACAGGACAGGCCTCTGGGGCAGACTCATGGACAGGAGAGCAGTGTGCAGCCCAGACACACAAAATGGTGATCGCCCTTATGGGCAGCGCAGTAGACAGAGGGAGGCCCGCCGGGCCTGAGAGTGTCAAGGCTGTGAGGCTTGGGAGCGTAGAGACCACTGGGATGCCAGCCGCTCACACTGACATCAGTGGGTCCATCACACTGGCAATCAATCTCGTCTGCCTTGGCCCAAGCGCCGTATGCAAAGGGGCTTGGGTACTATAGACCCGCCCCCCCAAAAAAATCCTTAGAGGAAACTTGTATGACAGCCGTGGCATGGCTGTACATATTGGGCCTGCATCCGGACAAGGCCTCCTAATAATCCCCATCCGCTTGATTGGCTCTATGACTCTCTCTCCTCTCCACCTGTAGCTGATGTGTGGTGAGCGCACTGGTGCCGTTGTCCTGAGGCTGCCGTCGCATCATCCAGGTGGATGCTGCGAACTGGTGGTTGTTGTGGTTGAGGATAAACACCCCCACATGACTGTAAATCGCTTTGGGTGTACAGCAATACACAATAAAGTGCTATATAAATTCATCATCATCATTCAACTGGTCACTGGAGTTCTACAGGGAACTCAGTTCTTGGACCCCTCCTCTTCTCCATATGCAATACATCACTGGGTCCTATCAT